ACCGGTCAGGATAAGCACGCGCTACCTTTCTCAGGAACTTCATTCAATCGGGGTTCGTCGTCCGGTGTCTCAGTTAGAGTGTATGTTCAAGCGAAAGGTCGTGACGTTTCCTGGTAAGTGTAGTGGGGTCTAGGCTAAAGCGCGTGCGAGAAGAGGCGTCGCGATGCCACGCGTCGCAGGCTCTACTGTTGGCGTGGATTTCCACGAAAGTCGGTAGACGGCCTCGCGCTGCCGGCCGGCCGACCGGCCGAATGACAGAATCAATTCGAGCCTGTCGTGGGACAAACCATACGCCAAAATTAGACGACGGGGGTCGTGGATGCGCGACCCCAGACGCCGCGACGCCGGCATTGTGTGTAGACGCTAATTTTACAATAGCCGTTTCAGTGCCAGGCCGTGAACGAAGAGCACGTGTGGCGCGGCGTCCCGACGCTCTTTCGGGACTACACTAACGGGACGAGCTTCTGACGTTCTGGCGCGACGTTCGAAACGACGATGGGGGGATACCAGCCAAGGGGAGGGGCGGATCTTGTTGGAACGAAACGGAGAGAGAAAGAGAAATAGAGTAACAAAGACAACGACGGCTGTGTCGAGGCATAAACTTAACCGTTACGATCTTTAAAGGGGAACTTTTGTACGATCAAACATTTTGACTAAATATAAACGACACGCCACATTTCTATACCCATTTATGCGCGCGTGCACGCGCATATGTATGTATTCGTTGAAGTTTGTACTCCATTGTTATTCAATAGGTTATTGGAATTATTTGTTGCTGGATTTTCGAAGGTTATTCTGAATGTCGCAACTTTTGCCTGATCAGTATTGTTCACATGTACAGTATTTTGCCGCCTGTCATCAAAGAAATATTCATTTATTCCCTCTTCAGAATTTCACACTTGTTCGTGTGAATTATTCCCATGATCTGAAAATTAATTTCTTATTATAAACAGAATTTTAATTACATTTGGAGGAGGAAAGATCACTGGTTAATCATCCCTACTTGCTCCAATTTCAAACCTGGATATTAATATTTGTTAGAAATGAATTATTTCATATTTTAGTGATATTGTATTGACAAAACAATAATGAAAGGATAAGCAGATAAAACATGACTATGGATCTATAATTTTCGAGTTACATAATATATTATAGAGTACGGTTTCGTACTGGTATAGAAGTATAGTAATAAAATATATAGTATAAAGTAATGGATAAACAAAATTTCAAAAAATATAAATGCAGAAATAAAATGAATGAAACATATGCTCAATTTTCCTGACGAATTTGAATTTAAAAATTCTTCCCAAGAAACCTGATCAGTTCGTAATATTTAATGATTAGTCAGATCAATAATTAATTGTCACAGTTTGCGTAGGTTTAGAAAATTTATTACTTTCTAAAATAAATCTCTATTATTCTATGTTACTCTTTTCATTTTCTTAGGCATTTTATATTATAAAATTTAATCGTACTATCACAACGTAAGAATATCAATTTGTTTAACGATCTTCCGTCTTTGCAATTCATATTGTTTATTATTACTGATAATTGATAATGTAATCAATTTATAGCCGAATTTATAAATGATACATAATTTCTGGAGAAGGAAAACATTAAATATGTAAATAAATAATATGACATAACAATATTATAATAATGAGTAATTCAAATTTCTTGTACAATAAAATTATATGTTCACACACAGATGGAATAAATATTATAACTGATATTATCTTTGTGTGAACATTAAGATTAGATTTTACTTAAAAAAAGAATAGATCTTTATGCTTAATTATGGGTCAAATTTTTGATATCCCTCTCTTAAGAAATTTTTTTATTGTCTTATAAAATACAATGTTTAAAGCAATATACAATTTCTTTAAATATCTTTATTACTGTTGTTTCATCGTAATATTAAAAATTATACTTATCTGTCATTTTTTACGCAGTTTCTTGCTAAAAGGATTATAAAACCACGAAGAATCGTATCTTTTTGAAAAAAAAATTAATCTTTTGCATCATTTAATTAATATATTGCTTTGTGTTTGGTCACATTTAATACGTATCGAACATTAATATCATACTGGATGCAGATGAAATTATTGCAGGTTCTACTACTTGAGTCCACGCGAAGGACCACCACTCACATTACTCGTTAGTCCTTGTAGTGGGCCAATATCATGGACGGTCAGTTACGTGGAACCACCAGAAAATGCTGAAGAAACGGAAGGAGTAAAATGTACGAAGAATTATTTTCTGTACAGAATGTCCTGAGAGGTAAAACTCATGCTACGTGTTAATGAATTCAAGAAGATAAAAAATATTCATATATAAATTTATGTCCGAAAATACCTCATTGTAAAATTATAAGCGTTCAAAGATTTTTGGGGAAATTGTTCTTAAGACTTGTTACATATAGAATCATAGACAGATACGAATATCGATTGATAACGCGTTTCCAAATGTAGATTGCACATGATGGTGCACTATTTTAGACGGAATGTACATGAATTTCTTAATCAAAAGTTCGATTGATCGAGTGCGACGGACCAATCAGTTGGCCTATTAGATTAGCAGATCCAACTCCTATGATGTTTTATTTGTGGAGTCACGCGAAATAATATGGTTTATGAAAACGAAATGAAAATAGAAAATCAAATCGTTGGACATGTATTCAAAATTTTCTATTATTTCTACAACAGGAATATTCGAAAGAATTCGATCATCGTTAATTCGACGGATGGAAGCCTGCATTCTTGGAGAAGTTTTGAAACAACAAAATTAATAAAAATTTGTAAAGCCTTATAACTTTATAACGAAGCATTTTTGGACCTTCTTTTACCTACTTGACATCATTAACACGTAGTATAAGTTTTGACTCCATCTTTTGGGATATCTTGTACAACTAAAATATATTGAAATTAATCTGTGAGCCAAATCAACCCTATTCTTTTAAAAGAACAAAACTTATTATTAAGCAATGGTAATTTGCATTTGAATTTTACAAAAATTCGAATTATTTAACTTTATTTCGCAATTTACATTCTTCTTGATAGAGATTAGTAATGAAATTAAATCGAATCAAAAATCTAAAAATTAAGCATAAGTTTTTATGGCACAATAAATTTTTTATATTATAAGTATTTAATACCATTTAAAGGTTAAATTTATTTATCACAACTAATTGACAAAGAAATAGTGGAGAATAATATCGTTTTTAATAATTTTATATTTTATAGATTTGTATTTTTCTCATTTTATATAGAGTATGTTAAATGTGATAATTTCCTTTTTTAAATACAATTGTTTTTCTTTACATTTTGATATATCCAGTAAAACTTTAAAGAACCAAATTAATTAATATTTTCAGTACTAATGTCTTTATTATAACTCTGGAATATTTAAGTAAATCTTACAGCAAATGTCTTTTACAAGATAAGAAGTATTAAGAACATGCTTATAACAGATTCTTTTTTAAACATAGTTTTTTAAGCATAATTCTTAATTAATTTGAGACAATTACTTCTGCATTATCAAAAAACAAAGATATAAAATTTTGTTGTTTAAAAAGTTCTACTAATATTTTATTTAAGTAAAATATTTTAGAAATATAGAATTACTTTAGATTTGTCTTGATTAACCATGCCATTTAAGATTTTTCTGATTAAACGAATATTGACACGTATTTACTAAATAATTCTTGTTACTTGACAAAAATTTGTCAAATTGATGTCTACTTAAAAGAATAATATTCTAAGTATTCTAAAGTTTTATTGGAAGTTAATTTTTCAATTATAATAAATGAAACATTTAATACATATGTAAAGATATAAATGTTAACAATGCTAATATTTCCTTATTTTTCTGAATATATCGAAATCAATATTTATTAATTATATATTCAGTATTCATTCTTATACGTAACGTTGAATAAAGATATATAAAATATCTTAAAATTTTTTGTAATATTTAATAAACTACATTATTGCGATATTATTTATTATATTTATAATATTTAATAAGCTTCATTATTATTGTGATATTATTTACTATGTTTTTTATTTATAATATTTTGTTTTAATAATATTTATTCTATTCAATATATAATATTTGCTTTAATTGACCAGTAAAAATTTTTATCTTTAATCTTTAAATTTTGCACTAATTTAAAACTTATTAATTTTTATCAAATGATGGGAATAACATTTTCTTAAATAATAACTTAACTACCCTTTAAACGTAATACTTTTCTCCACCATTTCTTATTTTTAGTTCTAAAGATATAGTTGCTTTAATTATAAAATGAATGCTTATCATTATTTCATATACTTTTTCACAATTATTTTTCATTGAATTTTAATCTTTCAAAGCATATAACAGATTAAGCATTCTGTAAACATATACTTTTTGATGCACTTATTCAATATATCGTAATACGTTAATCTCTTTGTATCTTTGATAAATGAATTAATTATTTTATACATCTTAGGTTATCTGTACAATACTCTAGTACGGATCAAACACATATAAATAAAAGTTAAACTCATAAATATATGAATTCATATTTAAATAGTTTTGTAGGATATTTACTAAGTACAATAATTCAACCATTGAATTTCTTTTCATCAAAACAATCATATTTTACAAAATTCTTGTTAGCTCTGTATTTATCTAAAAAAGACTAATAGAAATTAAAAGAAATTAGATTAGTAAGACAGAAAAACTTTTTTTCATTAAAGTTAAAAAACTTAGAACATGAATGAATGCAAATGAGAGTTTGTGATAAAATGTGTATCATAATCGATGCAACACAGTGCAAACACGGTGGCCAGTGAAGAGTTTGAAACCAGGCTCTCCCCTTTTCACTTACGAGGGTGCAGAGGATCAGAATTTTACAATATCAAAGACACGTGCTGGCCTTTATTGGTTCGAAATTAAATCCGTGAACCCTCCTGATGCCAATTTACAAAACTTGACACCGGGCACAGTGCTTCTATACGCCACGTCAAGCAGCCTGAGCCATATCCCAGAGTTGTATGTGAACGAAAAGGAAAATCGTCACCGCTGGCTAAGATTTCAGCAACGAAGAAGCAAACGTCGTCTTACAATATCCTGGAATAAAAGGTACTGTCAATAATTTTTTTTTTTTTTTTAACATATAAACCGTTGGAAAATTTGAAGTGGAATTTTCTATAAACGTCAGACATACGTACATTAGACTTCATTTATATCGATACATGTTGTTTGAGTCAAATTTCAATTAGTTAACTTGTTTCACATTTGAACTTGACTTCTATTGTTGTTATATGAACTTCAATTAGACAAAGTATTTACCTCATAATTAGTTTATATAAATGGAGCTTTGATGTATGTGATTTTCAACTAACACATTTGCGTTTGACCAACGAAACGAATGCTCGTTCAGCCACCACTTTCACCAAATTCATGCTTATTTATGATATTAACAGTCGCTTAGTATAGCAACACGAATACGAGCACAAATTTGGATGAAATGAAAGAAGTACAAATGTTTGTTTAGCTTAAATGTATTATCAGGTCGATATCATATCCAATTAAATAATTTTCCAAAAATTTGTCTCATAAACAATTTTACCTTTAGTCATATTCAGTGCTAGCTCAAATTATGTGATTTCATTAGTATTGCCATTTCTGTTTCAATATTTTACGTTGGAACGCATTTAAAATACAATAAGTATACTCGTGAATGCGATATTATCACACATAATTATATTCACTCCATAATCATTTTTAATTACATTTTGATGAAAGCTCGCAAGGACAACTTGATGGTATCAATACTTCAAAAATCTAGTAAAAGCAAATTAAGATGAAGAAATGAAATAAAGTGGATCAATTTTTAAATGGAAAATACTATCAACAAATTAGACAAATTGCTATTTTCCGAAATATTATTTTAAAAATTTATCTTAACATCATACATGTAATAATTGATATCATGACGATATCAGTTGATATTGAAGAGAAAAAGAAAATATCAAATTCATGTACAAAGAGGAAGTAAAAACGAAATCAAAAATTCTCTCCAGTACCTGTGAATCGAAAAAAAAATATAAAGTTCATACGAAGAATGTTCCAACGAATTCAAATTGGCTTACATAATTAATTTATGCCATGAATTCGACAGAAATCCATTGATCTTTACAGCAATATAGATCCCCACTTGTCGCACTACTGTTTAGCCGTGACATCGGGCTCTCAGCCTCATCCTTTAACACTATGCGCCGCGCAAAATGTTCTACGCGTTCACCCACATCCGGCGAAAGGGAGTTCCTCTTCTAAAGAACAGCAGCACCGCGGCATTCCGGAAGGACTTCATTGCGTGCGTCAAACAAAATTGACGCTCCACAGGATGAAGTACGATACCACGTACAATTTTACCTTATATGTGGTTAGTAGTTGCAACTGGAAAGGGCATTATCATATTTTTTTTAAAGTGAACTAGATTATTTCTCTTTTCACTGAGACAAAATTACCAGACGATTGAAAAATGAAATGTTCATTTTTAAACGATGTTGCTTCTTTATTTTAACTTTCTTTAAGCATAATTTTAGTTGTTTTACTAGTTTACTAATGTTATTATTCGCGTATTATAATGTAGTATTATCAAACATTGATTTGATATTGAAAATTTTATTTTAAGTCACTTTCTTTTTTTTATTAGTTTAAGTATACTGTGTTGGTTTCAAACAATGATTAGTTACACGTTTTTTTTTATCTTGTATTAGGTAAATATGCGAAACAATGTCTCGAATCGGATAGCCACTGATACTATAAAATTTCGAAAAACACCGGAGTTAAGATTACGCACTGGACATTATACCACAGCTAATTTGCGTAAAACCGATGGATTCATCAACTTCCATTATCGTCCTCCGGGAAATACTTCGAGTACCTTTCATATTCTTCCTTGCGGTGGTGGCATCGTTCGAGCAAAATTAAGTGGTTCGGGAATTTTAACGGTAATAAACCTTTTCTAACTATTTTCTAGTTCTGGCTAATGCACAAAGATTTTTACTACATGTAAATCAAAAAAATGAATTTTTATATTGCTGTCTCAAACAATATTTAATAATATTAAATATCTATTAATACAATCACAGTTTTAAATAATTAATTATATTAAACAGTTAATTTATTAAATTCATTTGTCGTGTTTTATTTATGTAATTAATCTTACTTTCATACTTTAATTTTCACGATTTAAAGTTAAAATGTTTTCGAGATGCATGAAAACTTCTGGAACCCAATTTAACCTTGTCAATTACTGACAATGAGTTGAATTAGATTAATATAAATATATTAATTCTTCGCATGGAATCAGGAAGAAAAAATATTTCATAAAAATTACATTATAATTTAATTTCATTTATTATTCATTTCTAATTTTCCAAAAATAAAAACTGTATCTGTTTTAATAATTCTAAACAGACTCTTTAAATTAAATAATTTTTCATACAATAATAATAATTTAAATGATTTGTATAATGTACATGCCATTGTAACTCTATTACATAATGTAATGAAAGCAATCATATGACTGTTATACCAAATTATATAATTATATGATTATAAAACAATTAATTATTCGTAAATCTATGGATGTAGATAGATTGGTTCTCTAAAAAGCAGCAGTGTTATCCAAATTTTTTATTGAGTAGAATTTTATTTTATTTACATTTTGTAATTTACATTTGTAGGAGAAAGAAGTGGTAGGATATGCATCATTAAGGGTACCACCTTTAACTTCAGGGAAAACATACACATTACGGATATCCGCTACACCACAAGAATTAGTACGAGTATCTGCCATTAAAGTATTAGCTACTCAAGAATCGTCTGCGATATATCCACAGGTATTTTATATAAATTAATATATACTGAATAAAATTAGCGTAAAATTGTTCTCTAATCACGCTAAAAATTTAATAAAAATAGCAACAATGCGTAATATTTCTAAATTCTCTAAATAGTAGCACGCATTGCCAATGATGTGAACATAAAAAAAAGTAAAATAATTATTTTAGTAGTCACAATTAAGCTGCAATTACCTTCTAAGTTATGTTAATTTTTTATTCTACTCTTTCACCCAAGAGTCATCAAAAAATTTATATCTATAAAAAGAAATTCTCTCAGAATCCAAAACAACAGGTGTTAGAAAATTTAAGGGATCTTCTACAAACCAAAACAAGATGAAAACGAAGAATAAAAATTTTTGAGTTATTTATTGATATCAATCTACTTTGATATCAATCACAGTATCCTTAGTTTCTGAGATACATGAACGAACGTAGTTAAACAATTTAAGTGGTAGATAGTAAACTTTAAACTTAACAATACATGTCTGATAGTTTACATCCCTGTTCTACTGATATTCCATAGTACAACACACAAAATTAATTTAAATTGTTGAATCGATTAGAAACTTATATGAAAGCAAAACTTAATACAACAATTACGTCTCTGTAAAAATATTTAATAATATTTAATGAATTTAGTAATTCCCTAATAATTTTTTAATTTGATAGAAATCTACAAGAATAGATTGAAGCTTAGTTTTATGGGATTTTTTAATAGAAGAAAAATTTTAAAAATAGGGATACAAACATATGGATTACATAAGTATATATATGAAATGAAAAATAAGCAAATGTGAAAACTTAAAACTGCAAATAATTAAATTATTCTTATTATCTCGTAAAGTAATATCTATTAACATACATAATATGCATTAATACATAAACTAATACATAATTTAAATTATTTTGATAAATTAAATAATAAAAGAAATTTGAATCATTTCAATAATAAACACAATTATTGCAATCGCGCAATAATTGTATAGTCGTCTTAAGATAAAATAAATTATTATTTCATTAAAAACTATATAGTGACTAGTGTATATATATATTTTGCACATTGTTCAAAATAACTTTTCTTATTTTGATTTCCTTTTCCTAAATGAAAACAAAATGCTATAATCATCTTTTCTTAAGATGATATAAAAAAATATGAAGAAGAAATTTTGTGAAAATATCGTTTCTGTGAAAACAATGTTTATAACATAGAAATTTCGTTTTGGATTGCCCACAACTCCATAGTATCATGTATATCCGAAAATAAAACAGCGTTGTTTTAAAGCTAAGCCTTTAATAAAAATATTTGTAAAAAACGTTACAAGTAAATTTCTATAACTTATAATAAACAACTTACTATAATAAATAATTGAAACATATTGAAGATATTAATAATTTAACTTATAAAGTTATAATGTATTTCTGAAATAGAAATCTACAATCTACAATTTGTAATTCACTAATATTTATAAATTAGTTTGCACAGAAGCCTTGAAAAAAATAATATTTAAATCCATAAGATATTTAATTATAAAAATAAAAATAGACATGAAGAGTATAATTGATTCAATAACGATGAAAAATTATCGATAATTTATATTTCTAAATACATTTATAAATTTGTAAACAAAATGCTTTACCTAAAGATGATTTCATGTCATATAGAAGAGAGAGATAGAAAAATAATAATATTTTTCGAAAATTACGAAAATTCAAACATCTCTAAAGGCAATAAAAAAATTTTTTTCTTATTAAATCCACTATTATCTTGAAGATTGAAATCTCTTCTTTAGAACCTCTTGAAATCTACACGATTTTTTTTCATCATTTTATTGAACTTTAAACCAGGATTAAATGACGAAATGTTAGTTTTTGAATCCTAATATTCAAAGTTCGATAAAATAGTAAAAAAAAATTGCATGGCGAATTCCAAGTGCTCGTTGTAAAGAGAAAATCTCATTTCTCAAAATGATCTAGTCACGAAAAAAAATTTTTCAATGTTCTCGTGGATGTTTGAATTTTTACAACTCTTTCGAAAAAGAAGTATCCTCGCTATCCTGTTCATTATATAATGCAAAATCATCTTTGAAAGAAATAAACTCAGCACTGTTAAAATAGAGATCCTGTGCTGTAAAATAAGAACAAATTGTTATGTAATTTTCTTTTACAAAGTTATAGCAGTGATTTTTCATTGTTATTGGTTCAGTTCAGCCGTACACTGTATAAATTACTAAACATTTTGTTTAGATACCATCGAAAAGTGCGCCACGTGAATATAGATCCTTAAGAACTTGCCACGAGGTGACAGTAGGGGTTGAATCAGCAGGCTCCGCAAAATATTGCATCCTCGTACGTGAATTAAAAAGCAGCTCATCGTTGGCTAGCATGACGACAATTCCAGACCAATGTGGTCTTCATCGTCGACGACGTTCTGAATACACTTTCGAGGTCTGCGAAGAGAAACGGAGTCCACCGAAAGATCGAGCGCTTCCGTTCACTCTTAAGAGGCTACAGCCAGGGAAAGCTTATCTCTTACAAATTACAGCTCAATTAAAAGGACAGTCTTTATCATATCCGTTGTTAACTGTACGCACTCGACGTTCTTGTCTACCTTGATAATCATCAAAGAAAATAGGAATATTCATTGACGATCTTTGATCACGTAAATTGTTACTTTGTTTAGAACCTTTGATTTCCCATTCTTAATGTAGTTTAGTATTCTCTTCGTCTTTTACATTGAAATAATACAGATGATCAAGAAATCACTGTCTATTAATGTTCGTCTTTGGTATGAAAACATTAAATTTCTGATGTAAGTTAAAATCTTTTAGATATTACCCGCATGAAGTTTCGGTCTACCTGTAATTTTATGTAAAATATTTTTATTTCAAGAAAAATTGTATGACTTAAGATATCACTTCTAAAGGAATAAAACAATTGTTTTATGAAAATTGCACGATTTAAAATATAAGCTTTCGTATAAAACGAAACAACTGTTTACTTCACGAAAATTGCATGATTTAAAATATCAGTTGTTAGGAAACAAAACAATTGAAATGGACAGAACTGATCTGAATCTTTTTTTATGATAGCAAAAATAGTCCCATCTTTCGAAGATCATAGTGCGGATTACTTGTTAATTCTCTCTAAATAACCACTAATCGAAACGCTATAAACGTTTTTCAAATACGTTTGCTCATAGTCTTTCATTATCAGAAACAAAATTTACGCATCACTATATCATTTGAAAATTACTCCAATGGAATATTACTCATCGATGTATCGATTTATCCATTTTAGTGTAAAAAAAATACTTTTTTATTATGAAAAAAATATTACTTCACCTTGAGGCTAAATCTAGTCTAGATTTACAAGCTATTATAACCCAATAACGTTTACTTGGAATTTGTACTTCTTTTCCTTTTCTTTGTTAGTTTAAAATAACTAACTTTCTTTGTTAGTTTTTTATTACTGAATTTTATCGAAACGACCAGTACACATGAATAAAATTGTTGATTTAAATACAAATTACATCTGTAAATATAATGCTGTTTTGTAATAAAATATAACACCGTAGAACTATACAGCACGGTGCTAATAGCTACAACTGTGTCTACTGTATAGACTATAAATAATCCTTTCATCATTCTATATGTGACAATATGTGACTTAAATTCTATATCATGTTACGTACAGTGATTCTTATTGACACATTTTGCGCCATACTTTCCATCTACGAAACTTGCTTAATTACCAGAGAAAACGCAACGCATAGTAATTAATAGGTATTTAATCGATCTAAAATCTTTTATCTTGGCTAAAATTATCTCTTCTGTTTAATAGTAAAATAATGTGTAAAATAATTATAAGCACAAACCTTCATCAAGTGTAATGTTTAAAAAAATACCGAACCTCATTCTGAAATATAAATATACAATATTGATATATTTTATACAATATGAATATGAATAATCGCTGATAGATATAGAATTGTTAAAAGTGTAGAACATGCTTAGCGAAAAAGCTTTCAAAAAAAAAAAAAAATAATTTACACAATTTTCTTTAATTTAGTATTTTAATATTCAAACTTTACCAGTGTATTCTATATGTAAAAATGAAACTAAAATATCACGTAGCGAAAGGTTAATAAATACTTCATAACAAAAAGTGTGAATACGATCTATATTAATTTCAACGATGGATTAGTCGAGAAGAATCAATCTACTGATTTCCTAGACCTTACATTATTAGAGTTTTACTTATGAAAAAGCAAAGTCATTATTTTTGAATGCTCCATCAACCAAATCATCCAATTTTCACAATAAATTCAATAATAATTACGATATCAATTTTATATAAAATTAAAAGGGGACTGACTACAAAATGTAAATATACGTTTCATATATTTATTATAACTTTATAATGAATTATTTGTAAATTTTTTTTACATGAGATTTCAGTCTTATTTTTATTTATAGAGCACACTGACAATGTTTGAAGATTAGAATACCGGACACTCTGCTGAAATTTTATTAACACTAAACGTACCGGCATTTTACATATACCTATCTTACCATAAGGGGTCAAATGATCCCTCGCGGCAAA